TCTTCATCTTCTATTACCACTTCTCATTTCGACTCGCAGAGGCAGACGCGTCAGACAGAACTTCCAACGTTCCCGATTCTGTGTCAGAGTCTGAGCTTCTGTAGACGACAGTTGGAGTTTGGAGCAGACTCCTTCCATATACTTGCTTCAGATTAATCTTGGCCGCCGACTGGGTCTTCTGCAATTCGGTTGAAGAACGAACGTTTTGGAATTTGCTTCGCCTTTCTTAACGGAGGCATTTGCAACATGTGCAAAAACTATCGCAGCTCTGACTTCTTAATCTGAAGAAGCAGCGGTTGCACATCAAGGTTCTCGCGTATTTCTGTACTCCGGACAATCTTATAAGAAAGCCCATTTCAGCCTCTTGTACTTGCGACCAAGGTTTTTCAGTTATGGTCCAACAGTCATGCCCGTAGCTAAGCATCGGGATAAAGATCGACTTGAACACCGAGAGCTTAGCTTTCAGACTGAGCTCTGCCTTAGTCACAGTGGGTCGGGCCAGTTCACGCAGAACGCCACTGGCCACTCCAATTCGCCGGTCGATATTTTCCTCCAATTTTCCATCACTAGTAAATACAATTCCGAGGTACTTGGAACTTCTCCACCTGCTCCACTGCCTCACCGTTAATCTGAAGAGAACAACGAGCAGGAAAACGAGAAAGCACTAGGCTTTTCGTTTTAGATGCGTTCATGCGTATGACGGTCAGGTCGCACTCGGCTGCGAACCTTTCTAGGGAACACTGTAGATCCGTTTCAGAAGACGCGAATAAAACAAGGTCGTGTGTATATAGACAACCTTCATGTCTTCACATCTCCTACACCGATACACTCATCGCCTTGGCTGCTCCTGACTATTCTATCCCCCGAGCATCACAGGAGAGGGAACGGGATGCAGTCTTGGCGTAGGCCATTGCCATCGCTGAAAGGTTTCGACTTAGCACCATTCACTCCTACTGGCGCAATGAATGATTTATTACGCATCACCTTGACATTTCGTGAAAGAACGAAGTACAATGAGCTCATGAGTCTTTCATTATTAAATGACATAAGGCACGATATGGTTTTCATCATGCATTTTTTGGTTATTATTATAGACGGTAGGCGAATATTCTTCCATCGAAATTTCAAGTGGAAGCGGCTTTCTTATAGTTCTCGTATTATTGTTTCGCTATTCGGCGTTTTAAAAGCCAATGGCAGACCATCACGGCCAAAGAAAATTAGCTTGACTGTGCTTCTCGTTCGTATTAGATAGCCTTGCATATTTTTTGGTTATAATCAGTGGCATGGATGCCAAGGTTGGATTTATGGAGCATGAAAAAAAAGCAAAAACAAATCGCATATTGTTTATGTTAATAAATGAAAATATATTTTAGCCGTTTCACTCACTTTTGACCGAAAATTTCTACTTTAACGTTTTCTTTTCGTTGATTTTTCATGTCGATGACAACACGAAAGTTGGATTCGTCGCTCATATCATGAACGGAATAAGTGTAGTCCGCATTTTGACTGTTATCTCTGGTCCCGAAAGCTGAGGTTGAGGAAATTTCTCTGACCGACATCGCCGCTGTGTCGAACCACGTTAGCAAAGACCACTACAATTCTAAATGACAAACTGTATAGGTGAATATTTATGAACATCTGCAGTTTTACAATCGCTTTACAACATTTTTTTACTAAAGGCAAATCGAGTTTACAATAACAGTAATTCCTCAATAACAGTGATAAGAGCAATTTATTCATAAACAAACGACGTTATTCAAAATGTGTGCACGCTGCAGAAATTTTTCCAGCCTGAAAGATTAAAAAGCAAAGAGTACACTTTTCATCATTTATTGGAGCCATTTATTCATCCGAGACTGTCTGAGTCTTCTTGCGCTACTAGTCATGAGTGGCATTTTTATAGATGATAAGCTGTACAATTAGAAATATCACATTCCTATAATTCGGATATTATAAATTAACATGCACGTTTGTTCCATCTTCATCTTCATCATCTTCCATCGCCGCTTCTCCTTTCGGGTCGCGGAGAGAGACACCTCAGACAGTGCTTCCAACGTTTCCGATCCTGTGCCAGAGTCTGAGCTTCGGCAAAAGACAAATGCAGTCT